AAAAAAAAAAAACTTTGTTCCAAATATATATATATATATATATATATAAACAAAGGTCAGTTTGTTTTTATGTACATTAAAAAGATAAAAAAATATGAGTATGGCTTCACGACAACTACTGCTGATCCGTGACTCAATAATAAATAAACGAGGCTGCGAAACAATCTAAAACAAGTTTGAGTCACGATTTAGTCTGGTTTGCTGGAAATGTAGCAAATGTTGCATGTGATGTGATAAGGACAAATTTTCAAAACCAACCTATTTACAAATTTAATCGCAGAAAACAACCTATTTCAGATTTAATTGCAAAAACCGACCTGGTTTCAGCCCTGGAGCTGAAACCAGGTCGGTTTTTGAAAATTTTTATCTGAAACTTCACGGGAGTTGAACTCCCGTGAAGTTTCGTAGTTTAATTTTTTTTTTGTACTGGGAAACTTCACGGGAGTTCAACTCCCGTGAAGTTTCGAAAGTTTTTTCACAAAAACCGACCTGGTTTCAGCGCCAAGGCTGAAACCAGGTCGGTTTTTGTAATTAAATCTGAAGTGGGTTGTTTTCTACGATTAAATTTGTAAATAGGTTGGTTTTGAAAATTTGTCCGATGTGATAAAGCTTGGACGCAAATAGTTAAACATTTTAGAGTACTAAAGTGAAAAGAAACCTCAATAAATGGACGTTGCTTCCGGCTTTACCCGAACCATAAAAGAAACATGAGAGCGAGGAGAGTCTACTACTAGCCTTCAATTAACTCCCCCATTTATTACCCCGAGATCTCTCTCTCTCTCTCTCTCTCTCTCTCTCTCCTCTCCATGAGCCTAGCGTGAGCCGTAACCTCACACAATGGACCGCCAGCCGAGAGCCCGCGCCGCGGCGCCGCCGCCGTCGTGGACGTCGCGCGCGGCGGCGACGCCTTTGCGATTACGGCCTCGAGTGCCTGCTGACCATAATGAGAACCCTGAGGATGGGCTCCTGCTTGTCCCTCCGCTGCCTCCGACGCCCTCGTCGAGCGGCGGCGTTTTCCGGTCGCTCATACGATCGAAGAAGCAGCCAACAAATAACGAGGAGAGCCGCTAGGAAAGATGAGGCGGCGGCGAGGAGCGGCCTTCGCTGGAGGCGATGCGGAGGATCCCGGGGAGGATGTTCTCGAACGGGGCTAGTGGAATTGCTTCGATGTTCACTCAGCAGGGGAAGAAGGGGACTAATCAGGATGCTATGATCGTTTGGGAGGTAAAAAAAAAGAAAAAAACCCTAATTTTAGTTTTGGAGCCATTTTTGTATTGTTTAAGTCATTGCTTTATTGATGGAGAATGAATAACTTTAGAGATATAGGTGAAATTGAAGAATTTGGTTGGTTCTGATGTATACTATTAACTATAATTGAAGATATGCATTAACACGAGTGGGTGCAGTATAAAGTTTACCTTTGGTTATGTGAAAGTGGCGAGCGTGTTCATCTTGGTGAAAGTGACTTGAGTGTGTTCATTTTGGAAAGTAGGAGAAGGGAATTATTCTCAATCAACTTTGACACCTCATTTGATGCGCGGGAATTGGATCAAATGAGAATGGAATGAAATAACGAAAGGAATTCCATAAGTGTAGAAGCGGAATGCTCGTTCCTATTCTCATGTTTGGATGCGATTAGAGAATGAAATGAGAATGAAAATCTATTTATTTTTTGTATGGATGATTAATAAGAAATCATGGCATATTTGATATTTAATTTAAAATTTTCATTCCTACTTAAGTGGGAATGCTCATTCTCTACAAACTCATTGGGAATGCCCATTCCCACAAAAAGTGGGAATAAAGGAGAAGTGAGAATGAACATTCTAACTTCTAAAAATGATGTTGTGTTTGGTACACATGAATGAGAAGAGGGAATGAGCATTTTATTCCCATCTATTCCAGCGCTCCAAACAAAGTTTGAGGGTACATCAAGGAAACAACTTTTTGATAGCTGCAAGGGGAAGGAAAAGCTAGAAAGGAGTACCAATTTTTTCACAACAACCTGCATGCGAGCGGGGTGTTCTGATCCATACAAAAAAAAGTATCGGGACAATTGGGGAATTCCATTTCCCTCTTTGTATGGATCACAATAACTCGCTTGCATGAAGGCTGTTATGGTAGGATTTGTACTTGTGTGACAGTGCTCACAACAAGGTGCCACGTGGAAAAGTTGCAATGTTTATGTGAATACAACTCTGGGTGTTATAGAGAGGAAGTGGAAAATGAAAGTTTGAAAGTACTGAATGAACATTGTTTACCTTCATTTTCAGATTGTCAAACACACAGAAATTGACTGAATACAGTGTGCTTCATCCAACTTATTTTCTCTAGGTTGATCCTTGATTCTTCTAGTATAAATATCAATATGCATACCACTAAACTGTTGAAGATATATATGTGAAATTGTATAAGATCCCCCCGTGTCTTGGAGAGCTTGATATTTAGGAATGGTAAAGTCAACATAGTTAGCATGCCTCTGCATTATCAAAGAAAGATGTGTGATTGTGTCCACGTTTATAGAACAACTGAGGATCGAGAGTCATGTTAGACATGCTAAAGTCAGTGGCTAACCATTTCCTTCTATACCCGGAGTAGGAAATGAGATGCTGAGATACATGGAATTCCATTAGTTGAGATGTGGCTCATATACTCAACTCCATTACAATAGCCATACTCGTAGTTGGAAGAATGTCTGCGCATTGCCTTCCTACTCAAGTGGTTGCTAGTGATCCAGAAAATAGGTAATTGTGATCGTAGCACTGTTGATTAACATCCTTGAGAAGTTAAATCAAGCTTGAGTATTAAGCAAGATGCAACAATAATGAGTAGAGAATGTTGAGTTAGAACTTAGAAGTGATAATAATATCTGTACTTTTTAGTGAGATGATGCTAGAACATGAATTGTCAGGTGCACCAAAACGACCTTAGCAGATAATTTATACACGAACTTTGACAAAGTTATGCTGGGCATTTCAACTGTTAGGGCTGAGTATGCATTTTAGGGCTGAGTATGCAATGTTGAATTAGAACAAATATTAAAAAAATTACATGTTAGATGTTTCGGTGTTGGATATCAAATGGAGTATGGACTGAAGGTTTGGCTTGGTTGAAAGTAGCTCTGATGATTGTCATCTTTCAGCTCTGGACTACAGGAGATTTTCTTTTTCCTTTTCACCCCTGATAAGGACTTTGGTTGTGAGAATATAGTTTGGCCATTGAATGCGATATTGGAGCTTAATGGTAAGAAGACGCAGTAAACAGAGTGATGGTATGATATTTCTGTAATGGCAACCAGAAAGTGCCGTGGAAATAGACATAGTTACGAGATGATATTATGCCTTTAATAAACTGATTATGTGAAACATTTTTTTTCTCTTCATACATTAGGAAAAATCTCACTTTATCCTCTTTCTGCATAAGATAGATGCTAGATCAGTTAACTTCAGCCTTCTGTACAGTGAGGCATTGTGCAGCTCACTTATCCAGGTTTAAATCCTGGGTACTGCTTCTGGGATTCAAACCTTGGTCCTCTTCAACCTTGAGCTAATGCAGTTTACCAGCTTCAGTTGAATATTGACAGATCGAAGTCATTACTTATTGGATTTTTCCCCGTACTTATGTAGAGTACAGCAATGAAAATGTGTTGTATTGGGTTTAGCATGGCTAGACAAATAATGGGCACAGAAAAAGATGGAAAAAGTTAAATTAAAGAAAAATGGAAATGGAAAACACAGCATTTGGTATGCACAAGCTAGTCTAAGCTAGTCTTTGTGAATGATGACTGAGTGCATCTTTCTAACATAGCTGCCACCAGGTCTGTCTGTTGAATGACCTCTAACTTATAATACTGCGCCTTGTTTCCTATGCTGTATACAGAAGTTTTCTTCATTTATTGTTGCCATCTGTTATAACAAAATTCAGATATGATGGGGTTAAGTCATTTTTATGTTGTTTTGATTATAATCTATTTCCAATTTTCCAGAACTTCTGCGCAAGAAGTGACACGATTTTCTGTGGGGTTTTTGATGGCCATGGACCATTTGGACATGTGGTCGCAAGACGCGTGAGAGATTCTCTCCCACTGAAATTAAGTTCCCATTTGGAAGTTGAAGTTGGCAATATTTGCTTTAAAGAGAACAATAATTTAAGCAAAGCAGGGAGCATGAATTCCGAGGAATCTTCATCTCTTAATTTGGAGGAAAAATCTGGGGTTTCTGTTGATTTGAAACAGAAGGAGAATCATTCAGATATACTTATGGGATTTAAACGGTCTTTCTTGAAGGCCTTTAAGGTTGTGGATAAAGAACTAGAAGTACACCCAAATATTGATTGCTTCTTTAGTGGGACAACAGCAGTTACCCTTCTCAAGCAGGTAGTAGTCTTATAGAAATTTTATTTGTATAGTTTGTACACGTCGAATTGAAAAGGGAACAGCTTCTTTTCTAGATCTGCGTCATGCTTGATTAACTTCATTTCTAACTTTTGTAGGGTCAAGACCTTGTAATTGGTAATGTTGGAGACTCACGAGCTATTATGGGTACAAGAGACCAAAATGACCGCTTGGTTGCAGTTCAGTTGACTGTGGACCTCAAGCCAAATCTTCCGAGTAAGAATACCTGCCATTCTACCTATGACTCCAAATTTACATTCTGCTGTTTTTTTCTCCCTAATTCCTATTATTTCATCTGTATTTATAATGTACTTATAGGGTACATTTATAAGGCTCCTTTTGCTGTCCGTAATTTACAAACATCTAAATTTTACAACACTTGTAGTTTGAACAGTGAAATTGTAATTCTATTTACTATTTTGGTCCTGTTTCCTATGATCTCCAATAAATTTCGTCTATGAAATGTATTTAAATATTCTTAACTGATTCACTCTATTGGATGGTTTCAGTTTTAGATGCACTTTCTACACTTACTCACGCTATCGAATACTTACATCGTTAGATGCACTTCCTTCTAATACGTGAGGTCTGATTTCAATTCCACATGTTTTAGGGTGAATTCAAGTCTATGGTCTTACCATGATCTAACTTTAGTTTGCTATGAGAAATTGCACTCCACAGGTTGTTACATGCTTAATCTTTAGCAAATGCTTCAACTGGGTGTACTAGTTTTTCAATAACAAGTAACAAAAATTGGTCTTATGATTTTGACAGGGGAAGCAGAGAGAATAAGGCGGTGTAAGGGCCGAGTTTTTGCACTTCGAGACGAGCCAAAGGTGGCTCGGCTTTGGCTTCCAAATAACAATGCCCCAGGCTTATCAATGGCGAGAGCTTTCGGAGATTTTTGCCTCAAAGACTTTGGCCTTATCTCTGTGCCTGAAGTTTCATATCGACGCATCACTGAGAAGGATGAGTTCATTGTGTTGGCCACCGATGGGGTAATCAAACCTTATATTTGTCCATGTTCCTTTGTTGGGGTTTTTACATATATACCCCCAAAATCATCTATATTTGCTAATTTCTCCCAAGTCTAGGTATCTGCTATTGCTAATATACTGCCCAAACTACTGTGTTGAGCTGAAACAAACCCCAAAAGTTAATGATAATAAATAACTAGTCTTCTGCATGCATGACACAGTTGAAAGTTGTGCTAAAAGATGTTAGCACCTAATATACATAGTTTTATTACACACAAATGTGTACAGTGCCATGCACGCATCATGTGAAATGTTGTTAGTGTGGTTGTAATTCATATGGGTGTTAATAATGTCTGATGTGCAAAGGATTCAGATGCAGTTTGAAATGTTATGCAGATGCATGTTGATTACAGAGAATGGTTCCATTTAGGCAACCTTGGGATGGGTCCCAAGGAGTCATACATCCACAAATCAAAATAGTGGGTTGTAAATTGTTACTACTAAGACTATATATCATTTTATTATGAGTTGGCTTCTCAATTCCATTTATTGTATGTCTGCATTCTGAGACAGAAAAATACTTTGCAATTTTCTCCCTTGAAGTCCTGAAATGGAAATCTAACACAAATTATCAAACAAACCATTGAAGAAATATGGAGGGGGAAAAACTGTATGTGTCCTCCATATCCACTGCCACACTTGCAGCCAGAAACAACCTCCCTTGTCATTGGCTGCGGCAGCAGGAGCGATGATGTGCTGTATGCCATTAAAGAAAAGATAGAGTTCGCGGTGGTTTGAGGTTGGAGTGGGGATTGAAAGTTTCAACAATTGATGGGAGAGGTTTGGCAATGAGGGATAGTTGACAATTAGTCTAAGAGGTGCACGAGCTACCATTATTACTCTTGAGGAGAGAGAAGAGGGCTCTTTCTCGTTTGTTGTTCAGTGTGGGTAATTTTTTGGGGAAAGATGGTTGAGAATTGGAACATGGGGATGGAACATGGCAGTTTCTTTTTTTGGGAATATTCTCCAATTTTGTCCCTCCTATGATTGGGTAAAGCATGATAAGTTTTATGGATATTTTGAAATCGTGACGCACCGGGATAGAGCAACGAAAAATTGGTCCAAAAGCCAGCCTTCTCCAAATAATAGTAATTAATAGATATTAAGATATTCATAATTTTATTGATAGCTGTCTTGTTGAAAATTTCCTGTTCTACCGTTCATAAACTAAAAGAGCTAACTTGGGAGGGTATTTCAGCTCAATATGGTATAGAATTTATTCTCGCAAAAAAGAAGTTATAAAATTGGGGGCATATTAGCAAATATCTAGATTTGGAGAGTAAACTCGCAGATGTGGATGAGTTTGGGTATCTATGTAAATCACCCTTCTTTGTTTCTCTTCTGGCTATGCCCTTCAAATGAATTGATGAGCTGTGCTTTTATTTTGCTAATAAATGTGTGTGCCTCTGATTGCTGTAGGTTTGGGATGTGCTATCCAATGAACAAGTGGTAACTATTGTTGCCTCAGCTCCTGATCGGTCTAATGCATCACGCGCTATTGTTAACGCAGCAATTCGATCATGGAGGATCAAACATCCAACATCCAAAATAGATGACTGTGCTGTAGTTTGCCTTTTCCTCAATACAGAAGAAAATGTTTCAAGTACCAAAGAATCCTGTAATGGTTGGTCGTTGAACTCAACAGAAGCTGGGAAGAACACTGCTTTAGATCCTTCGAACCCAACATCAGTAGAGCGATCAACAACTATTCGGTCATCTAGGATCCTCCAACAACACAATATTAATACTTCATAGATTTGTTCTTGGTAGAAAGATCAAGAAAATATTGCTGTATGTATATGTAGTATTTCTTGTTTTGATTAAGGTGGGTAGACCCGGCTTTATTATTTTTGACCGGGAAATATGTTTTTCCACCTAATTATTCATTTCCATGTCACGTGTGAGTAAGAATGGAAGTATTTGTTGTAAAGTTACAGGATGATAAACTTGATCGATAGCATGATAGTTGGTGATATATTTATATTTTGATTTCGATGTCATTGAATTCTGTTGAACTACCCATGTTTCTTTGAGAAATTGGGGCAGCAACTTAGGTGACTTCTTCAACATTTGACCTACGAACCACCTTGCTACTGATAAGCGTTCACTGATTTTAGTTTCATGTAATCCATCTAGCTAGTTAGAAAAAGATCAAGCACCCATATGAAATCCTAACTGAAATCTCAAAGCTGAAACCACCAATTCCTGCGATTTAAATCTATAATCCAAAGGTTAAACCAATACCGCCATAAATTTTATTTATTTTCTCGATAAACTACCATGAACGCTGAAAATTACAGTAAACCATCACGAAATTTCTAATTTCAGAAAAATTCTCTAGTAACAGACTGATTTGGTTCCAGCATCGGAAAATCCAATCCTGCTGTGGTCCTGGCCCTTGATAGAAGTTTTTGGATAGTTGGCCAACTCCATTGTCTTCTCTACTTTGTCTTCTTTTTGTTTCCAGCTCATCGCGATAAACAGATTGACATGAAAACGGACATTTCAGGCTTTTTCATCTGTTTCTGTCCTTTTAATCTGCAAATTTTTTCAACATATTTCCTTTGTTCCAGAGACACCAACGTGTCATCATCACCAAGGTCCCAAGTTTGACTAATGCAACTAACATACACAGCTTTAGATTCTCAAGCCTATCATCAGCCAGTAATTAAAGTCGGAACTCCAGAAGACCTTTTTGATATTTGAGGATAACAGTCCAAGTTCCAGTAGTAAAATACAAGAAGTGACAAGATGAGCGTTACGATTCCATTTTGTTTTACGAAGAGTAAAATTTGTTTCATCCTGCCATCTTTTTCAGTCTTAATAATCGACAGAAGACATCCCGATAGGATAACTAAGAAAGGCAGCAAGAGGGATCCTTTGGATTGAGATATTTACTGAAAATATAAGACACCTTGGGCACAAGTAATTATAAGCTCAGAAGATTTCTCAGGAAAAGTGAGACTTCCTTTACGATTGAAATCCAAGGTCTCACTAGGCTCAGGACTTCTCAGAAACATTCTCTTGAGAACATTAGCTGTCTTCGTGAAGATGCACGAGTGCTTAAGAGTTATGCTACCCAAAATTATTTCCCTTCTTCGAAACATTGCTAACAGAATATCGAGTAATCTTCTCTTCTCATTCTTTAAATCGATGGTATGATCTTGTCCCATACAGTCATTAGGGCAGAATTGCTCTGTTTGTAACCTATAACATCACATATGAATTATAAACATTTTTATAAATAACAATAGAAGACACTTAACATGCCCGAAATCTTCTTAATTAACTTTGACGATATACTCTACAATTCATATCGGTGAAGTTACGCTTTATGATGCTTCAGTAAACATCCCCATGCTGAGCCTCAGATATCGCAACTTCTGCTGTAGTCTGTACTCGCTTCTGGCTCTCCACGGAAAAATCTGCCTTCTGCTCTTGGATTTTTCATGTACTTCCTCACAGCCCAACAATGAAAATAACCCTTAGGCTCATGCCTCGATCCCTCCCATCACTGTATTTCAAATCTTGCAATCTGGCAACCATTGAAGGAGGTATTCGTTTATCATCCATGTTCGTTTATCAGACGTAACAGCTCAAGTAACCATGAGAATCATCATCAAGTGGTTATTGCCTGTATGATATACAATCGTAGAATCCTGGTGTCGTTCTTCATAATTCATCTACACTAGTTTCATGCTCATTAAATGAAGTTCAAAGTTTTCTTGCACGCCATTCCTCTCTAAAACTTGCAATTGGTGCTTCATAATTCATCTACACTAGTTTCATGCTCATTAAATGAAGTTCAAAGTTTTCTTGCACGCCATTCCTTTCTAAAACTTGCAACTGCTGTAAGCTCAACATGCATATCGCTGGTAAGTATAGCACTCTCTCTTTATTTACAGTGACATCCTAAAACCAACTTGATCCTGGGCTCTTCTGACTACATCTCTCCTTCATCACTCTCCTAACTCGTGCAGCATCCTCCCATCGATCTTTTGACGCATAAATGCTTGAAAGAAGTATGTAGTTCCCTGTATTCCCAGGCTCCAACTCAAATAACTTCCCAGCGATCCTCTCTGCAATCTCCAGGTTACGATAAGTCTTACAACCTGCAAGCAAAGCTCCAAGAGCTCCAGGATGTGGCCCTTTTGGCATACTCCATGCCATTTCAAATGCTTCTTCAAGCCGTCCTGCACGACTTAACATGTCAACAACACAAGCATAATGATCAGGTCCGCGCTCAATTTCATAATCCCGAACCATGCTCTCCCAAAATTCCAACCCCATGTCAACTAGCCCAGCATGGCTACAAGCACTCAACACTCCAACAAATGTTATGTGGTCAGGCTTTATGCCGTCTGCTCGCATTCGATAGAATATCTCTAGAGCTTTCTCTCCGTGACCATTGGAAGCGAGCCCGTTTAACAGGGCAGCATACGAGAACACATCTCGATAAGGGATTTCATCAAACAGGTGAAGAGCCTGTTCAACATTCCCACACTTAGCGTGCATATCGACCAGTGCAGTGAGGACCCGCTCGTTCCTCTCAATCCCATTTCGGTCCACGTAGCATCCGATCCAATTTGCGAGCTCGGCTCTCCCCAATTGGGCAGCGGCAGAGATAACCCCAGTCATCGTCGCAGGATCTAGGGCAACCCCCGTCCTCTCCATCTCCCAAAACAAACCCATCGCCTCCTCCGCCCTCCCGCTTTGCGAATACCCTGTTATCATCACGCTCCACGAAACCAAATTCTTATTCGGCATCCTATCGAACAACTCCCTCGCATCATCCAACAAACACCCCTTACAATACCCCATCACCAACACGCTCCAAGAAACCACATTCCTCTCCGTCATCTCATCAAACACCGCCCTCGCCATCCCCAGCTCCCCAGCATTGACGTACCCGACCACCATCGCGTTCCACGTGATCACGTTCCTCTCTCCCATTCCGTCAAACACCTTCCGGGCACGGCGCATGTCCTCTCCTAACCTAGCGTGGGCCCCAAGAACGGCATTATAAGAAACTGTATCTTTAAGAGCCATTTCATCAAACACGTCGTGGGCAAGTTCAAGTTGGCCGCATTTTCCGTAGAAATCAACGAGGGCATTGGCGACGGGCAGGTACGAGGTGTACCCGGTTTTTGTGAGACGGGCATGGAGCTCGGAGCCGGAGGGGAGGAGGGAGAGGGAGGCGGAGGAGTTGAGGAGGAAGGGGAAGGTGAAGTTGTTTGGGGAGAGGGGAGAGGCGCGGTCAATGCGAGTAGAGACGGAGCCGGAGAGGAGGGCGTGGGATTTGGAGAGGCTGCGGATGCGAGGTTGAGAGGCGGCACAGGAGGCGAGGGGTGAGAGAGGGGAGGAGGGGAGAGGAGAGATGGGTAGAGGGCGAAGAGCGAGGAAGAAGAGGAGGGGTGTTTGGTTTGGAGTTAGCGGCGGCAGGATAAGGTGTGAGATTTGTTTCGAGGTGGTGGAGGGGGAGGAGGAGGTGTGAGTGAGGGCTGGGCGGATGGGAGGAGATGGGATTCGCTTTGTGTGATGCCGGATCGGTTGCGCTTGAGGAGGAGGAGGGGGGAGATGGTGAAGCCACCTTTGGCCGTGGTGTGGGAATTCGAAACAAATTTTTGGAGGGAGGAATTAATGAGCGAGTAGATAGATTGGAATGAAGCATGCACATATATGAATGAATATACGAGGTACAAGTGAGCTTCATGTGCATGTACACGTACGTATATAGACCCAGCTGGGAACAAGTCATGAGTTTTTAGTTGATGTTGACGAGTTGATTTTGTATATACATATATGTATGTACATTGGTAGGAGGTTAATTATGATGCCACCGCAACATGGCTACAAACATGATAAGATATTCCATTACAAATTAGTTGAACTTCGGCCTACAAACATGATTAATCATGGAAGCAGCATGACGTACACACCAATCATTAACAAACATTGGAGTTGACTTCACTTTCTATTCTAATTAACACCACTTGTAGAGTTGTTGGGGCTTTGATGGAGGTTCAGGAACCAACCTTAATAGAAAGCTTAAACTGCTAGGTAATAACCCTAGCTAACTCTTATTTTAAGGCAATTACTCTTGTTTATCCTTTTCAGTGTAAGACTATACTCAGACATGAATATTCTGACAATCACAACACCACCAACACAAAAGTGTGTTGTAGAGGAAGATATATAGTTGAAAATTAGATGAGTTGCAGCTAGGAAATGCTTTAATAGTACAGATTAGAACCACATAACATTACATTCGTTATTCTGTTACTTGTGATCAAACATAAAATTGCAACATAACGCACTTGGTTGGGAGCTCCGTTACATGACCACAGTAGCTAGTGATCTCATTCACATTGATAAGACCAAGATTTCGGAGCCATATTAAACCTCTGATGAGTGTAATTGAAGGAAACACTCTGAAGTGGAGCCAAAGGCAAGCCCGCATTGGCAACGCAGTCATCAAACCGTACCACCCTGAAAACCATGGGGCTGACCAGGGACTGAGGGAAATCCCCGCACTTGACGTGGACTTCGATCACCGGGCACATTGGGCAGCTGTTCGTGATCGTGACGGTGAACTTCGGTGGGTGTCCGAATCCTGTTTGAGTCTGCTTCACTGATGGGATGCTCTTCAAGCATTTTGCCGCCCGTCCTGCAACGGCGCCGAGCAGTTGGTCCTCAAACTCAACAATTTATAATTTGTCATTGAGAGAGTGAATTCTTTGGTTGTGTTTTCTTAGTAATGGAGAAGATCTATTCTTTCTAACAATCTCATAAGAATAACAAATGCAAATAATAATAAAAAAAGATTGGAAGACATTGTTTTCTCAGTTACAACTTAATATTTAGTAGATGATTGTGATTCCTCTTGAGTGATACTGTTTGGTACTTTCTTGGCCACAACCATTTCTGTTATACCGTTCATCTTTGACTGCAAATCTCAAGAATGCTAATTTTAAATTTAGAATGAGTCACAACCGTTGACTAAATAATAAACTGTTAAGGAAGTGGAATCTCTACTGCGTTTTGAAAACGTGACAAGCATGGTAGCAAATGCAAGTAATAGTAGCTATAAAATGTAAATTTTAACAGATTTTGCTACTGACCATGGGGAAGCTGCAGGAGCAATAACAGTAGGGAGAGAGCTAGAAGGAACTTGGACATAGAGGCTACTACGCTGAGGCTGAGCTTTTCTTTTAGTACTTAGCGTGGAAAAATTCTGATGAGATTTACATAATAAGTATACAGATATTAGGTAATGATGGAGGGTGTGAAGATTTAAGAAAGATCACATGGGGGTTGAGGGGGTCGTAAGTGGATCACATGTTAAGAGTTCTGGTAAAGATGACTTTTTTAGTAGTGCACTGTGTAAAGGTGATACATATGATTGCATTACTGTCTACATTTATGGAAGCATGTCATTTGTTCTTTTCTTTTATGTCTTTCCTTGGTTATTTTCCTTCCCTTTTTTATGATGTTTTTTTCTTGTGCGTGCACGTACAGTTGCCTTTTTCTCATATGGAAAAGGATTTTTGATCGCGCTTTAACGCTGCGGCCAACCGCTCGTGAAACGCCGGTGTCCCCACCTTGCAAGTTGTTATGGACCACCCCGTATGGCCTGCGAGTTGGCATCGCGCTGTTATAGCGGATCCAAAAAAAGCACGTGGTTCTCCCATATTTCTATGCTTTGGTTTAAGTTGATTGATGATATATATAATAATAGAAAACTAGGCGTTCTTGACAACCATTCCCATCAAGGATGCTCAAAATCCCATCGGTATTGTGCATCCTTAACAGGATCTTATCAGGGATAGCCTATTAATATATATCGTGTCATGGATGTTGACATCCTTGATGGGCACCTATCAAGAATGCACATTCATGATGAGATATCCTTGACGACATTCACTATCAAAGATTTTTTGGCATCCTTGTCGGGCGGCCATCAAGATTGTTTGAAGCATCCTTGATGGCAAATGTTGTTAAGGATGTACAATCCTTGATGGCAACAGCTGATGCTCCTGCAGAGTCCTCAACGCTATCCGTAGATGCTCCTCGTGATCTTCCTCCGATCTCGAGTAAATGAGAATATCATCAATGAAAACGATCACAAACTGATCTAAGAAGGGACGAAAAACCCGGTTCATCAAGTCCATGAATACCGCAGGTGCATTGGTTAACCCAAATGACATGACTAAGAACTCGAAAGAACCATATCGAGTAAGAAAGGCGGTCTTGGGAATATCAATCTCCCTAACCCACAACTGATGATAGCCAGAACGAAGATCAATCTTCGAGAAATACTACGCACCCTGCAACTGGTCAAACAAGTCATCAATCCTAGGTAGTGGGTACATATTCCGGATAGTGACCTTGTTCAACTCTCGATAATCTATGCATAATCTCATACTGCCATCCTTCTTCTTCACGAAGAGGACCGGCGCGCCCCACGGAGAATGACTCCGGCGAATAAAACCCTGAGCTAATAACTCGTCCAACTGGGTCTGAAGCTCCCTCATCTCAGCTGGTGCCATACGATAGTGTGCGCGGGATATCGGGGCTATGCCAGGCTGCAATTCAATACAAAACTCCACCTCTCTCACCGGAGGTAATCCAGGTATGTCCTGAAAGACATCCTGATACTCTGAGACAACTCTAGTCTCTAATAACTCAGCACCCTGATCCCGTCGCATCACCTCCTCGATGTAAGCCAGAAATGACTAATCATCTCGGACCCGTCGGACGCTCGTAACTTGACTGTCTTCGCAAAGCAGTCAATGCTAACATGGTAGGAAGACAACCAATCCATACCAAGGATGACATCGAACTCGGACATATGCAACACTATCAAATCAACTATGAACTCTGACTCGTCCAAACTGACGGTATACCTCCTACAAACGCTCTCTAGAAGCGATACCTCACCTAAAGGGGTGGAAACTGATAAAGGGGTGTCTAGAGGCTGAGCCATGAGCTGGAGTCTATCCATAAATGCATGCGAGATGAAAAAATGCGAAGCTCCCGAATCAAAAAGAATACGGACGGGAAAGGAATTCATAAAGAACGTACCCTCCACTACTGCTCCGCTAGCTCCATGGTCACGGGGAACTACTGCATAAACTCTGCCCGTGGCTGGAGACTGCTCTGCTACTGGAGATGGAGAATATGGGACAATCTGCCCCTGAGGAACCTCCTGAACTGCTCGAACCTGACCCTCAGTCCTCTGAGCTGCTGGCGGTGCCTCAAGCCTGTGCCCTGTTGGTGCTGCTGCTGCTGCTGGTTCGGACTTTGCCCTGCTGGGCTCCTGCTGGTGTGCTACGACACTCTGATGCCTTATGCCCGACCTTGTGATAATTAAAACAAGATCCCTGGAACTTGCGCTGCTGATGCGCTCTCTGATCATGTTGGGGTCCCCTTTTATAAGGGTCCTGATGCTGCTGCTGATGTCCAGAAAAGGGTCTCTTGTTCTTGCTCTTATCCCCACTCTGTCCTGTCTTGGCCTTCCCTTCCTTGTCCTTCTGGAACATAGTAGTCTCAATCTCCTGAGAAGTGACAGCCTTGTTGGCCTTCTTGTTTTGATGATGTTTAACAAACAATTTACCACTAATGTTGTTTGTCTAGTATTTGTGTTTTCTTATTTATTATAGACAAACAACGTTGTTGGAGGATGGATGGATTGCGCCATAACGACGATATCAAATGGAGGTTGGCGGAATTATAGAGTGAAGCATCATGCAATTCATAGTTAAAGATCAAGTTCAAGCTTCATCCGCAATTGTGCTACCAAGTTGTAGCTACAATGAAGATCAAGATCATTGCTTGGGTATATTTAGCTATAGCGTTTATATCATGTGTGTTAATTCTATAAGCTCAAACATTACACACACATATATATTTGTGATTTTCGTACACTATAGTGTTTTATGCAAAATAAGTTTTGGACTATATTTACATCATAAACCAACTTTATTATGTCCATATAAATATTCCATAAGTTTTTCAAAAACTTTTTTGAGCTCAAAAATAAACAATCACATGTTTTTCATATATACGTCTTTAGAGTGCTTTATGCAGAATACAGTGTTTTTCACAAATTATAAATGCAAATTGAAGCGAAATTCTTTTTTTCTAACATATTTGTTTTCATGTTTACAACATTTCTCAAGTTTCATCAGTGGAAATTGATATTGCTTATGTTTATGGGGAATTTACAAAATTTCATAAAATTTTCATCACGTGCCATATTTTACAAAAAATAGCTATGAGTTTTTCATAAATGAAAATGATATCAAGAAATTCTTTCTTATGAATGTTTATCTACATGTTTAGAAACTTTTCTCAAATTTTTACTATTTTGAAGTGATTTTACTGCCTGCCTAATTGATTTTACAAAATTCTCTTGGTATCACAGCCTAGATTTTTCAGAAACTGTATCTTTTGTGTTCCAAACATTTATTTCTCTCAACTGCCCGGAAATGATTTTTCAGAATTCTTTCTCTGACATGCTTATGTATACATTGTCTAGAACATTCCACAACATTTCATAATTCTTGGCGAGTTCATTTACTATTTTAAATTGATTTTTTACAAAACCAGCTGCGTTACTGCCTACAGTAATCCGGCTCGACCGGACCGGTACGACTCGAAGCTATGTAGCATCTCGCCGTTGCCTACAGGTAATGACTAGTTCTGTTTTTTATTTATTTTAATGTTTTGGGGGTGTCTTCATTGGTTTTTGGGGTTGTTATATGCGCAGGCGGGGCCTATATATACCCCATGCCCTCATACCTCTAAGCCGTAACAAAAGAAATGCTTTTAAACAAGACTTTAAAGAGTTTTAAACCAAGGGTTAGAGTGAGTGCTTTGTTTTGCGTTTGAAGATTATTTTCACAAGTGGGAGGAGATATCTTATTGTTTGGGCCTTCATATCTCCATCTCTCCATCTTGGCATCTAGAGAAGAAGTTTTCTAAACTCTATTTCTAGCTTTTTTATATATTTGATTATCATTGTTATTAAGCTAGAACTACATTGAGTTTAGTTTTGATTTATATCTCTTTGTTCACACACAACCTTTTGAGCTTATTGTATTTACATTCATAGTATAATTTGGGGTTGTGGGTTTGTGACTAAGAGTTGTGCTTAATTGAGTTCTCACCTTGTTTTGAGAACAATCATTTGTCATATTTGTGCTTATTGTGAGAATCACTTTGTAATACACTTGTACACCGAGTGAGGAGTGTGTGGTGAGAGTCGGGGATCGTCCCAAGAGGAGTGGCGTCGGTTGACGTGCCTAGAGAGAGGTTGTAACCGAGCACTTGAGGGAGACACGGCTAGGTCCAACACTTAGTGGGTGTAGAGTGTGATTGCAAGAGTGTGAGTTGTAGAGTTTTCGGTTAGCTAGAAAACCGAGTGTGTAGAAGAAGTTCCGGCTTCCAAACCGGATTGTGTTAGTGAATTTCTCCCCGGGAGTGGGGAGCGGAGACGTAGGACGGAAGGTCCAAACTCCGTGATCATATTGCTTGGTTGAGTGTGCTTTGGCGTTCATTCATATTTATGTTCATACCTTATATCGCTATTGTTATTAGCTCATTATCTATATCATCCACTATCTTGTTTAGATTGTTTACCCTTGAGTTTATATATCCTTGCACATACATTGCCTATATCTCTTTGTTAGGATATATCTTGTTGTTCATATTGCTTATCCTAGCTCATATATATTGTTGTATTTTATACTTGCTAGGATAACTTTTTAATTAATTTTAATTGGCATAAAATCGGATTAGATTAGCATAAGACCCTAATCACCCCCCTCTAGGGTCTAACAAGCCTCAGTTATCTCCCTAACTGAATAAAACCTCCTGGACACGAGGTACCGTCGAAGATTAGGGCGAAGCCCTGCTAAGAACATCTGAGCCTGACGCTCTCCCGTCCGCCACATGCCCATGAAATGCAACAACTCCATGAACTTGCTCTCAAAATCTGCAACGGTCATGTCCCCTGAGTTAACCTGGACAACTCGAGTTCCTTCCCAGTCCGTGCTGCAGAAGAAATGTACTGCCCATCAAAGAAGTATATGATGTCCTCCCATGTGAGGGTCATCCTCTGCTCCAGAGTAAACTGAAGTCGGTACCATCTCCCGGTATCTCCCTTCAGGCTGTAGGATGCTAGCCTCTGCTTCTGTACTGAATCTACACCGAGTATATCGAGAATATTGCTCACATCCTCCTTCCACTTATGGGCTGCAAGAGGGTCTG